GGTTCCTTCCCTGGACAGAGGATCAGCTGTGGCCTACCTGCGAGCGGCAAGGACGCTGACCCATTGACCGTGGCCCATCGTTAGCAGGTGCACTTGCGAATGAATGGGTAAGTCTAAATCTCTACAGTTTTTACATTTTCTTTTTAATTCAATATTCCCCGCGACTTGTTAATCCTATCATCATCCATCAATTATCAACAATCTATCATTTCTCCATCCATTGCACGTGAACAACGATTAAGTGTATTAATTGTTATTCATAATAGTGCACGAACAACAATTTCCTTGCATTGTTATTCATGTAGTTTGTTAAACGCTTCGTACTGAGCGGAGCGCTTGTTCAAACGCGTTAAAGGCCGACCGGCCGGATCGGAGCCAACGCTCCCGAGCCGGAGCGCGCGCGAACCGAGCGCTCTGATTGGTCGGTGTTTTTTGTTAATAACTCCTCAACCACGCCTCGGACAACTTTTTCGCAAAGGAAAGTGTTGTTTAAAATCATGTCAGGAACCTCCCATTAAAATTCCTTACACTAGTTTTGGGACACCCTGTAGAATGAAATGACATTAGGTTTGTTTAATCGATAACAAAAGCCATCGAAGTTGTAATTACATCATTTTCCGTCTTTTCCGCCCTAGGGCGGGAATGTGCTATTTTGCGCCCGCTAAACATGCACGAGAAACCGAATTTCGCGCCCGGAGGGTGAAAAAGACTAGTACATTGGGTAGAAATTAATAACATCATACCAGAAAGTCAATCAGGATTTAGGAAGGGAAGAGGATGTTTAGACAACATCTTTACCTTAGATTCAACACTTCAGCTATATGTTGGAAGAGGAAGAAAGATTCTGGTAACTTTCGTTGATTTTAAAAGAGCTTTCGACTCAATCCCTCATAATATTCTGTAGGAGAAACTTTATAAGTTAGAGATTAGCCCAAAGATAATTCGAATCTTGAGTCATTTGTATAATGTGGCTACAATACAAATTATTCAAGGAAACCGGTACACTAAGACTACAAACATTACACAGGGTGTCTTACAAGGGGAGATGCTGAGCCCTCTCCTCTTTTTTCTCTTCCTGGAGGATATGGAAGATTTCTTCAGACGTAGAGGTCTTAGAGGTTTGGACATAGACCAATTTAATGATATTTTATTGCTGTTATATGCAGATGATCTCGTATTCTTCTCCTATTCACAAATTAATTCGATCAAAAAACTGAAAGCCTTGCAAGAATATTGTACCATGTATGGAATGAAAGTGAATATTTCTAAAACAAAAATCACGGCATGTCAAAAAGGAGGGAGAACTAGAAATTATCCAAGATTTACGATGTATGAAAACGAAATAGAAAAAGCCAAAAAATACGTATACTTGGGAAGCCCAATTAGCAGCTCTACACTAGGTCTTAAAGCCGCCCAGACAGCTGTCATGAAAAACAAAATTGCAATTCGAGGATTAATTTCGGTGGTAGGGAGATCCAAATCTATTTCTATAAAATGTATTAACACACTACAGGAAAGCTTATGTACGTCAGTATTGTTATATGGATCCCAAATATGGGGACCTCAATATTCAGACTATGCAGAGAAAGCTCAGATGGAATTTTTTAAGAGAATTTTTCATTTACCGAGAAATACTAGTAACGTTTCACTGAGATTGGAATTAGGAATCAAAAGCACTGTACTCAAAATATTTAAATTGGCTTGGAACTGGGTTATTAAAATGTTGAAAATGGAAGAACCTAGATTACCTAGAATCTCTTTCTAGTTTCTATAGTCTTTTGAAACAAGTAGAGATATACAAAAAAACGAGGAACTAAGAATAAATATAATTGGATAAGTAATTTTGCTGAGATTCTCAAAAAGATTGAATGTGAAGGACTCCTATTGGATCTTACGGTATCCGCTTGGCAGAGTGCTTCAAATGAAGTTTTTCAGAAACTCGAATATTATCTGACACGGCAAGATGAAGAAAAATATAGCAAACTAGAATCATTGCACAGTAAAATTCCTATGGACAAACTTAATGTGATAAATACTCTCTCTGATAGAGTGCCTATTCATATGATTAAGATTTTTCTTCAGTCTTGCTTCTAAATATGGTGACATAAAATTCATATGCAATAGCCATTTTTAGACAGGGTGTTCCCGGATTAAATGGCCAAACTTAAAAGATGAATTTGGGACCCCAAAACAAAAAAAAATTTCCTCTAGAAATATGCTCGCAAACGTTTCGTTCAAGAGCTATTGACTTCTGAAGTTACAGAATTATAGGAATGAATAATGTCGAAATGTCCCTTTCCTTGTTTTGAAGATCATTGATACGCTTTTGTTTGTAAACAATAGCATATCAATGATCTCCACATGTTCCAAGTTGTTAGTTCGTTGAATGCTTTCGCCAAATAAAATCGTCGTCATCGAATAACTCATGCCTCATACATATTCAGCTAGAGAGTATGCCGATATGGTGTATTGTTATGGGTTTTGTGACGAAAATTCTAACGCTGCTCGCCGTGAATACATCGAGCGTTTGCCGAGCAGAAGATTGCCGAACAAATCAGTATTCTCGTCGACATTTCAACGACTGAAGGAAACTGGATCATTTAATATGTTGCCCCGCGCTGATGGAGTTTTTCACTTCTGCAGAATGAACGAAGAACAGCCATCGTATTGCAACATTTTCATCAAAATCCATCAACAAGTGTCCGAAGATCTGATTCTGAATTAAGAATTTCACCCACAGTCATATGGAAGATACTTTCAGCCGATGGTCGTCATCCATACCATCTTCAACGTGCCCAGCATTTATTACCAGCTAATATACCACGAAGGAGACCATTTTGCGATTGGCTTTTAAATCAAGCAAACAATGATGTATAATTTTCGCAAAACATTTTGTGGACAGATTAAGCCATATTTACCAGACAAGGTATTCTCAATCAACGAAATAGTCATATTTGGTCACATGAAACGCCTCGAGCTAACCGTGAACATCATTTCCAACATGGTTTTTCGTGTAATGTGTGGTTGGGAATAATGAGCAATACTTACAAGGAAACATATCGAAGTGGGACACGCCGATTTTGATGAAACTTACACGAAATATAGTTCTCAAAAAAATATTTGACACGTATTTTTTCTTATCGGCAATCGTGCATGTTGAAGGGGTGATAACAGCCCTCAAAGTTTGGGGTTGAAAATACGTTTTTTGGAATATCTCGGAAAGTAGGGGGTATAGGAGGGTACTTTTTTTTTATTGTGTGTGTTTTTTAGTACCGAATCGACCTGTGGTAGAAATGTTTAAACAAATGGAGTTTTGTAAACATTTCTACCACAGGTCGATTCGGTACAAAAAACACACACAATGAAAAAAGAAGTACCCTCCTATACCCCCTACTTTCCAAGATATTCCAAAAAACGTATTTTCAGCCCCAAACTTTGAGGACTGTTATCACCCCTTCAACATGCACGATTGCCGATAAGAAAAAATACGTGTCAAATATTTTTTTGAGAACTATATTTCGTGTAAGTTTCATCAAAATCGGCGTGTCCCACTTGGATATGTTCCCTT